TTTTTTTTTTTTTTTTTTTTTGTTTTGTTTTTTTTATCCTCATGGGGACTTTGCATTGACTTCATTCATTTACCGGCCATTTAATCCTGATCCCTTACTCTAAATCTAATCTCACATACCTGACCCTAAATCTGATCTAAACTCAGTTCACACCTTAGTCCTAAACCAAATTCCTGACCCATCAACAGTACGCCCCCCAATGGGGACGGGACTTTCGTCCCCCAAAGGAACAGTGGGTCCTCATCAGGCTGTGTACCTGAAAAATAATCAAAAATTGTCCCCACCAGGTAGCAAAAATGTGTGTGTGTGTGTGTGTGTGTGTGTGTGTGTGTGTGTGTGTGTGTGTGTGTGTGTGTGTGTGTGTGTCACTGCAGAGAAATAAAAGCAAACAAAAAAAGTTTGACATCTGAGTCATATTACTGGCAGAGATCTCTTCCTGTCTTTTAGGGACAGATATTTTTTTAACTTCTTCACTCCAACCCATAGACACATTATAATATTATTATTATACTAAATTATATGTTATTATTATACTTGTTTACAATTTATGACCCTACCATTAATTTGCTCTTAGGGATAGAAAAAAAAACGTTTTAATATAATTTTCACTACAAGAAAATGCATTTCAGTTAATAGTTTTTAGATAGAAGTAAATAAATAAATGCATTTTAAACTCAAATTTGATTTTCCTTCCTGATCTAACTCAGGTGTTATTTTAATCCAAGTCTAACATGCTGCTTGTTTACAGCTCAGTCTAAAGGTTTTTGTTTTGTTTTGTTTTTTGCAGGATTTATGTCAGGGGTTTTAAAGGTAATAAAAAACTTTAAAAGCCCTTTAAAAAGTAAATAAAGTCCTCACGAGCTTTTGAAAAAGATCCATCTCCTCTCCTCCTGACAAGATGGAGCCATAAAGAGGAGAGAGAGGAGCAGATCTCCGGGAACTGTCCAAACATCATTAAACTCCTCGTCAGGTTTATTGGAAACGTGACGGACAGGCTCAACGAGTCAGAAAAAAATCTATACTTAGTGCGTAAAAAGAATATTCTGCAGGATATTAACAGGGATTTAAGCCATTTAACTGGTTATTTTTGTAATAAAGATTTTTGTATCTTCTGGCCTATAGTTTTATTCAACGCTTCTGAGTTTATCCAAAACAGAACTTATTTTGCGCGCAACTGATTTCAAGTAGTTTTCTGGTTTAAAACAGAAAAAAAACACATTTCATGATTTCATGAAATATTTTCTTTTTTTATTCTCTGATTTTTGTCACTTTGTTCTTGTCAACGAAACGATCAAACCTCTGTGGTTCATCGGGCCTTTTTCAGAATGAAAAGACCTGATTATGATTAATCAGGCGCGTTAATTTGGAAAAAGACTAAAAAAAATCAAATATAGTTTCAAAGCGACCAAATAATAAAACTGATCAATTTGAAACTGGGATCTGAAAACCTGTTAATTGAATTGTCCCACTCAGCTCCAGGATTAAGGATTGTAATGAAGATTATCGCATTAAATGCGGCCTAATTTAATTCTGATGCTCAAACGCTGGTTTTGACATTCGGGATGATTATTCGTCATCTTCATTGCGCGGGGCGCACAGCTGCTGCTGCACGCGGGCCCTCTGTGTTTGCGGCTCATTGTTCTGCTGCTCCTGCAGGAGGAACTTCAAGGAAGACGTTTTATCCTCAGAYCTGCTGCTTGTCACTCAAGAAAGAAGTCACGGAGAAAACCGCACATATTTTTTGCATTTGCGCCAAGTGCGCTCAAACCTTTCCAAATCATTTAGCGGATTTTTTTTTTTTTTTTTTTTTTTTTTTT